TGGGTCACTGAAATAACAAGAGCAAGTACAGCAGGTAAATATAAATAACAATTAACTTTTTTTTTCCATAAGTCATTCCAATCACCATCTGAGAAAATAATATCCCCTTCCATTGCTTTTAATTTACGATGGGAAAGTAAAGATAGAGCCTTGCAATTGCGTGCACACACCACGACTGGCAGAAGGGCCTCCAAAATATTCTCTAGAGCAGGGGTCTCCAACCCCCGGGCCGCGGACCGTACCGGTCCGTGGCCTGTTAGAACCGGGCCGCACAGCAGCACGAGGTGAGAGCGGTGATTTCCTCACCTCTTTCCCGCACTGCGCACTTGTCTCAGTCACAGTTTTGGTAAGCCCACAAGCTAACCCCTAGCCAGCTAACCCCTAGCCAAAATTAGTAAAAAAAACAAACGTCGCTGGAGAGCTTCTTTGAAAAGTATGAAAAACCCAATGATGACCCCCCCCCCCCCCGGTCCGTGAAAAAATTGTCTTCCACGAAACCGGTCCCTGATGCCAAAAAGGTTGGCGACCGCTGCTCTAGAGGACCACCCTGGAAGGTATTTGGCCAATTCTTCCGCACTGGCCAGACATCTAAGAATACATAGGAATACAAGTGACCTGCAGATCGACTAACTGTGGGTTTCTCACGAATACATGTACTGCTGGGTGGAGAGAGGCTGGGAGATTTAAACAACTTGGCCACTGTTTCAACAGCCATGCCAGGAGATCAAATTGAACCGATGACTTCTGGATTGCAAAGGTCTTGCGTGCTGACCATTACACCACGACAGCATCCACATTTTTTCGTAAGTCATAAATAACACAGCAATGTAAAACTTTAAATGAACAAAAACCCACATAAGCAGTAGATACTGGAGGTGCCACCACAAGGTGTGTCTCTTGCGTGATGTCTTGGCATGTACCATGGCCGTTATGTCTCAGTGTAACCGTGCCAAACTTTTCGATTTAAAGCTTTCGTGACTGCAGGGATTCATCTTCTTGGTTCTTTCGGTAAAGTCACGTAGAAGGGAAGTAATAAAATAATAAAAAATAAAACATAATAAAATAATTCTCACGACGTTTCGGCTTACAACGCAAGAGAATTATTTTATTTTATTATGTTTTATTTTTATTATTTTATTACTTCCCTTCTACGTGACTTTACCGAAAGAACCAAGAAGACGTGCCAAACTTGCCAGACGACTCTTAGCAGCAGCAATAGCAGCCTGTCCCAGTGCTGGCTTCCGTTACTCGTCCAGACACGCAAGGCTTATTTATGATATAGTGTGTTCAGCGAGACTCGAGAGCTCTGGCAACAGAAAAAAACGTATTAACCATTCTATATTTAGTATCTTGAGCTCTCGGACTCACCATGAGAGATTTTATAGATGATGATAGATGTGCAGTGTGTGTGTGTGTGCGTCAAATAATCAGCATTGTTGCATTAATGCATGGAATGCCTTTCCTGGGGAGAATAACAAATACAAGGACATTATATAAATGATGTGCTAGACAAGGTCTTAGGCTTAGCCGTCAATGCTTTTAAATTATTGCGTATAAAACATTGTCATCTGAAAAAAAGATGCAGTTACACAACATGAAGACATTCGTAAATATCCCCAACATAGTGAGCAATTGCACAAAATGCAGGAACATTAGTTTGCACCAACAAAATATATGCATTAAGCAGCTATAGATATTTGCAAGGGGGTGGCCTGCCGAAAATATCAAGTAAGCCACCTGTTATGAAGCATACTCTGCAGGGTCCCACGAGAATGAACTGCATATTATTTACTCCTGAAGGTCCCTCCCTTTCCTGGCACGACTCAGGCTGGGAAATGCAGTGATAAGCAGTTCGTGTCCCACCAGCCTACTGTTTCTTAATCACGCAGATGTCGCAAGAACACCCCGAAAGTGTGAGGGAACAAAAGTGATGCCAGTTTTTGCTGGATTTGGAGGCTAAGCATCTGTTCTAACAATGGCCTTGCCACTGTCTCTGTAAGTAGTGGTGCTTTGAGTACAGTCTGACTGACCGCACTTTATTGTTGACATATAGTTGTTTTTGTTTGTTATACTTTCAGTGTGACCTTTACACCTAAATTTGTGAACTGCAATGCTGTGTCCATATACAGTAGTTTTGTAAAATGGCATCAATATGCATTATGTAGAAACATACAGAACGTTTATAACATTTGTCCTGGCCTCTTACGACGTTTGTGTGTTTATATTTTCACGAACGACTTCAAGTTTTGATATATATATTTTAGGAAGGTCGTGTTTAGTCGATACAATATTTAAATTATATGTTGGCGTTTTTAATGCAGTGCTGCGCGATAATACAGCAATTTCGTGTGCCAACATTGTGTACATATACAATGATCGTCCAGTGCCTCCAGCAATTACAATTTAATTGTATGAGGCCTGTGCCATAATTACACCCTGACCATGTATTCAGGCTTGATTACAGTATTGGCTAGCAAAGATTGAGTCGAAGGGGAGTTTCGCATTCCATTGACTCTGTTATGAACAGCTCATGTTTACCAGCCCCTAGAAGCGCAATCTATGTTTGCAGAGCATTGCCATTGTTCGAGCTGATATTTTGTGAGCAAAAACACCACTCAACCGGGCATATATCCAGTCCCGTTTCGACTGCAGGCACAGTTTGCAGAAGAGGAAGTGGCTAACATTAATACATTTTCTTTTTCTGAACTACCATAACGTGTAGCTCTCCTGATACAAATCTTGTGCCATACTAATGAGTAATATAAACATGTGTTGTTGAAAATATCAAGGACGTGTACGAGACAGCCTAAATTCAGACGAAAATATAGACAATGTACACACTTAGAGTATTTAGTTTTTTAATGCTTTTCAAAGCTGTTTACAAATCTCATGACATTGAGCCACATTTGCCCAGCAGCTGCTGCTTGCATTGTACATCGCTATTTTATAAAATATGATTACATTGTAAATAGCTATTTGATAAAATTGCTATTTACTGGCCTTTGTGTAACACCCAGTTAGTTGCTTTATGATTTCAGCAACTTTATGTAATTGTTCTCGTTAACTATCACGAACAGCTCAAGCATGTTAATAATGAATCAGTACCACGTAATTTATAGTACTATTTAATTCCACTGTTGTATGTTCAAGTTCAAGTTCATTTATTAGGTAAGCCCTGTGAGCCATTCGGCTCTTGAATCGGGTGCAACCGCAACAAACAAAAAACAAAAACATGAACAAGAAAACATCTTAAAGTGACTATGTGCAAACAGAAAATCCAAGAAAAGACAGCAAAATATTGCAGAAAAAGCACCGTACACCAACACTGTGTGCAAAAATCCCAGTGGATGCAAGTCAAACAACAACAACCACAAGACAACTTAGATTAAGGCCATCAGTCTAACTCTGTACTACAACAAACAAACATGGCCAAACCAAAAAACTTTTCGAAAATCACCAAAATAAAGCCATAAAAGCAATGAAACAGTGATCATAGGAACTGTGACCGAATTTTCACAATAAACGACGTAAACAACATGTACTACCAAACTCTGCAGCCATAGCTGGCTGCATGAGTCACTCCACAACAGCAGGAGCATCAGTCGGAGTATCAACATTTTTCAATGCACCTTTAAGATCAGCACACTAAATCAAAACACAGATCATACTTTATTTCACCGTGACGGTCAGTGGAGGTTGGTGAAGTGAGGGAAGCGCTGCTCGTTTCCTGTTGGCGATGATCATCTTAAGGTCACCGGGTTCATAGTGCACTATGCTAACCGCCGCACTAACTCTCCACCCCAAGCATGTAAATATTAGAACCTAAATGTGTGGGAATAAAAAGTGGATTCAGACTCTTATTTGGTTGTTATTACTAGAACAATTATGTCCCGCTGCTTTTTGGACGGAACAAAAACAGTTGCCTTTTATGGATATCCCCTTAGTTCAACTTTAAAATGGTTTCCTCAGATAAGTGTTCATTGGGGATGGGTTGTGTATATCGCTCCGACATTTGTTAAAGATCCCTGAATAAACAATCATCCCAACAGTAAGCATCAGGACAGGCTCTGCAAGCCAGCTGGGTTCATTATCCAACAGGACCTAACTCAGAAGCACTCCCATGTCCCGTCCGCTTAGGGGACGAGGCACAAGGATGTTTAGGGCACGCATCAGCTCCTCGCGTGTAAAGCATGTTAAATATTCTCGTCAGGACATCCTGCAATCTCAGAAGTCAAGCCTGGAAGGAAGGGTGTGTCCACAGTTGTTGGCTTGAGGCTCCACGTTCAAAGTCACGCAGTTGTTTTTTTCACAAGCCTCGTACCAAGGTAAGAAATGTGTCGCTTAATTTTAATGTCACATACAATACCGTATAACTATTTAAAATAATTGTTATGTGTGTCACTCGTGTGTTAATGCGATGTTGTGTGTGTGCATGACTTTGTTACAATATCGTCTTTCTGAGTGTAATACAATGTAGAGTGTCACCGCATACGTTGTGGAGTCAACTTTGACTGCGTGATTAAACGGCACACGGCATTAATGGTTGTAATTAAGTACAAAAACAAGTATTTGCATCCATATATAAGTTGTGCTTCACGTTCGGTCACTCGCTGAATGTGTGGCATAACTCACATGTGTTGTTCTGGAATGCACTGGTAATTGCAAAATGCAGTTTTTTATACCTACCCTAGTGTTACAGCCAGCGTGTGCTTTGTTTTTACATGACTGACAAATAGAGAACTATATACTGTGAAGTTTATTGCATACGCGTACTTTCTATATGGGTGCTTCATCATATTATTCGTTTGTGTGCGGTGTTTTAAGGGGAATATTACATCGAAGGATTGTGAGAAGTGGGACGGCTTGGGGAGGGCTTCATCCAGCAGTCGCTTGATCACGGCTGAAGATGATGATTAATTTATTGCTACTTGATAAAGCAGTTGTACTTCTCTTTCATTGTGAGGACATTGAATGCACGCCATACCTTTTTCGTTTCCCAGGCTACTCAAGCGGACGGACCATTCGACCACATCTGTACCTCGGCGTTTGCCGCCATGACCTCGGGGAGATGTGCTTGGCTCGTAGTTGCTCTGCTCTTCATTGCTCCAGCGGACACGTGCCCATCCGTTTGCCGGTGCGATGCAGACAGTGAACTCGTCTACTGCAATGACAAGAACTTGACTTCGGTTCCGAGTGGAATACCTGAGAACACGCACGTGCTGTATCTCCAAGATAACCTGATTACTGCGGCTGGGATTCCTCTTGCGGTAAAGAATTTGACTAATTTGAAATTGCTATATTTGTACGGAAATCGACTAGAGTCCTTCCCAATAAATCTACCAACAGGTCTACTAGAACTACATCTGCAGATGAACAAATTACATAGAATATCCAGAGAGGCTCTTTCACAGATTCGTCTGCTGGAAAAGCTTCACCTTGATGACAATGATCTTGCTACGAGTGAGATTGAGCAAGGTGCTTTCGAGAATTAAGTTATATTAAAGGTTTGTATTTCTCCTCTAATCAATTGTTGTCTGTGCCTTATGACCTCCCGAAAAGTTTGGAAGAACTACAACTGGAAAGCAATCGAATCACAACAATATTGGAAGATACTTTTGAAGGAATGGTGAACCTAAAGCATTTAAATCTGGACTGGAATGCATTAACGAGTGAAGGTATTCATGATAGTTCATTTGCCGACCTTACAGAGCTGGAAGAACTGTCGTTAGCAAACAATTTACTAACTTCACCACCAAGAATTTTGCCAGGAACGAATTTGCAAAAACTGCATTTGCAACATAACAACATCACAACAATTCCATCAAACTCATTTTTGTCTTTACATAACCTTGTTTACCTTGATTTATCAGAAAACCACATAAAGAGTTTGCCCGTTGAAGCCTTTAGTGGACTGAACAACCTGAAACAACTCACACTTCAGAACAATCCATGGTTGTGTGACCGCAAGCTCCTGTTGCTCAAAGACTTCTTGGAAACAAGTACTGTGCATGTGAATGGATTTATTTGCAATGAACCACACTACCTGAAAGGTGAAACTTACAAGGCAATAAGACCTGAAATGTTGAACTCTCGCAACGCCAAGCTGTCTACATCTTTAATGGTAATGGAAAATGCCACTTTGGGGCCAACTACAAAATACACTACAACACATACTCCGAGCGAAGTTGCTGAACCACGTCAGCTAGCGATTTCACGACAAACCAAGAAGGGAAAACTACGGCCATACCTACGCTTGTAACTACAACAAGTAATACAACCTCAGAAACTACTATGGCCCCAACAACAGATCATCGAACATCACAGAGCTACAGCAATCCTGTGTTAAGAGGGCAGTCAATGGGCGAGCAAGAAATCAAGGTTGAATGGGAATTTATGCATCCCAATGCATTATATAATCTCAGTTGGACAGAAACTGAAAATAAAACTCTCGCGGCAGAGACTTCGTCGGAAATAGTCTACGGCAGCCCTCCTTCATATGTCATCACGAAACTTCGGGCAGAAACAGCTTACAGGATATGTTTGGAACTCGTACGGCATGACAATATGTTACTTCAGGACACTGCGGCAATTTGCACGGACGCACGGACAAATGGTTCTTTGCCAAATAACCTTACTTTGTTTTTAAACCAGGACCAAACCATTTTAGCTGACCAAGGTCTTCCCATTCCAGTGGCTGGTCTCTTAGGAGGAAGCGTTGCCTCTGTGCTGGTGTTGGTGCTTCTCGGTGCTCTGTGCTGGTACTCGCACAAAACTGGCCGCTACTTTGTTACACGCAGGGCACCCGGAAGGCATCCCGCTTGAGGAATGTGAAGCAACAGTATCCAAACAAGCAAAGAGTCTTGGAGATGAATGTACCGCCGCACAAGAGGAACAATTAAACAGCCATGTGCACGATGGTAAAAATATAGACAACGTAAAAAACTGTAATTTAAATGCTGAAAACAATACAAACCCACTGAATACAAACGAGCTGTGTGCATGACCTCAGTGGCTGCACTGGACAGTGATGGCTTATATGCCGCTAATGAAGCCCACGTCATGAACTTTAGCATCGATGTATTAAAACATTAAAAACGATTTTGTCATCTGAGCTGTTAAAATATTACTATTTGGCACTCCATGGTCCATGAATGACAAATGCGATGCATGTGTTTTGTAAATACGTTGTGAAAAGTATAAGAAGGTGTTTTTTAATTTACATTGAGGCACTATGTGGTCAAATTTAATTTCCTTGTCGTGTGCATATCATTTTTACTAGTTGGCAACTTCAGGTTATGTACACATGCAATGGATTAGGCTAAATGACTTAAAAGCATGTTTTGACCCTTGCTGAAAAAGAGTACAGTATATGAAATCTAAACCGTTTCAAGAACAGAAAGGGTATCTGTATAACATTTTACATGGCAATGTAATAATAGTTCGTTTTTAGAGGATTCTCCAGGGGACTCATAATTTAAAGAACGTAGTTTTAATTCCCAGTGTAGGTTACCAATACCTTGGGGAAGTTGCAGTACGGATTGCTGGAATGGGCAGTCATATCTGCCATGCGATGTTCTGGATGCAGCACTGGTACAGTGCAATGTGATGATATTCTTGCGTGTGGGAAAATGTGGGAACCCCCCCAAAAAATGTTTTTCCAATCCCAATCTGACCAGTTGCTGAAGCTCTCCCCGTTCAAGAAGGGGGACTTCCATTGTATAATTTGTACAGATCTGCCATTGACTTATTTAATATTGCATGAGGCACTGGTGCCATGTGACGAGTAGCCACAGCCATTGCAATATATATACACGAGGTGGTGTGCCGAGATGCGGAAATATTCTCCAGGTCACCGATCCCAGATGAACCTGGCTGAAATGAAGCCCTGCCGTACTGTACATGGATAATATAAATGTGCTTAAAACTACTTCTGTTATATCCCTCGCCTCGTATACTGAAGGACATGGGTTCAATTCCGATCCTGACACCTATATATTTGGAGTTTGCATGTTGTGGTTTTTCTCCGGATTTTCCGGTTTTTCCCTCCACATTTAGAAACATTTGTTTAAGGGTATTTGGCTGCGATGAATTCCCACATGGTAAGCCACTTCGTTGAGCTATCATTTGTGAAAGCCAGGTAGCTTTTGAAAAATATCTATATAGCTAAAAAATATCTATATTGCTATATTTTATCTGGTAAAATAAAAAAAAAATTGTTGAGTTTTTAGTTTTAGCTGACATTGACATATTAAAAAAATATGTACAGCCCTTTGTCAATCCATTCTTGGATGAAGACCTTCCCACAGTTTAGTTCATGGGGTTTTTCTGCATACTTCACCACGCTGGTAATTGTGACTTGGTGAAATGTTGTGGCGAGACTGGTGGGGGAATTGAGTGCTCGTTCGATAATCGGGAATCGAACTCGATGCACCATGTTCATCGGGCAGTGAGTTAACCGCTGCACCACCACTCTGCCCTGCCATTTGCGTACTTCTTTATATACATGTGGATTATTTAAATGCACTTAAAATTAATATTCTATTTACCTTTCATATTGATAGCACTGTCAAAGAAAATATATTATCTATTTATAAAACAATATTGCATTTTTAAATGTAGCTTATTGACAATACAAGCACGTAATGGACTGATGTTTATTTTTAAATGTGGTTTAGTTATAATTTGCACATGCATCTGGAATTTAAATTATAAAAAAAACAATATGCATTTCCATATTACAACTGAAACGGCCACAGATGGCACTTTTATGATAGAGTATAAAGAGTGATTGATCGTCTATTAACCAGTGAAAAGATTTTATAGAGATTTCAGCCACTGCCATGCATCAATTTGCCTAGTGCAAAGCGAGCTCAGGAACAACATGAATGCCAACTCATATGCGACAATGTCGTGAACGCATTGCAAAGCTGCGATACGTTCTTCCCAATGGGTGCAATGCCAATGAATGGCTTGGTGTCCGCTGGCTACGGTGTCAATCCGCAATGGATGCAGTGCACTTCAGCTCAGAGAGGCAATGTGATGGCCCATACGTTGCTGTGAATTCCTGTGATTCATAAAACTCAGTGGATGGGTAGGGAATTATAGAATTCTGAAAGTGGTGCGTTGCATTGAGTATTCAATAATATTTATAACAACATTTACATTTTTGTTGCATTTTGGTTCTCATAACGTCCAAGTATGATGAATAGACTCAGCAGATGATGTCTTGATAATGTGAATACAGTAGCACTGCTGCTTGCGTAGGTTTCATACTTATGGCTATTCAGCTCTCTGGTGTGCTTTCGGAGTCATACCGCACATTGTCCGGCACGATGTCCAACGTTTCACCCGACGTGCTGGGAGCTTCTTCAAAAACTGAATGAAATATTGGACGTCGTGCCAGATAACACGCAGTATAAACCTAAAACAAATCAGACAGCTATACAACAGAATTACGTTGCTTCCTGTACAAATGTATGTTCCCAATGAAGACGCATTGGACACCCTCCACCAAATATATTTTTCTTTGGTCCCTACATTCCTGTGCCAATAGGCATCTTCGTGACATGCTAACACCTGCCATATATTTAACTCAATTCGCACTCACAAGAGAGTTGCCTGTGAAGAGATTGCATCCAATGCTGGGAACACAAATCATAGGTGTTGCGTGCCGAGTCTATTGGCTATCATCCCTCTTCAGAAAACCATACTGCATATACCTTAGCACAATATGCGTCACTATATGGGTCAGAGAGTTGGGAAACAAACACAGGTGCATGTGGAAGGTGATAGCAATTTTATGGAAGGAGAGGGCAAGCAACCTGGGAAAGCAGTATTCTTGGATGCAAAGAAAAAAATCCCCTTGTAATGTGTGGGATACATGTGTAGATTAGCGAAACAGACGGAGTGACATGAAGGTTCACAATTGAGGGGAAGACCTAAAGCCAGATGGTGGGATACGCTGTGGCCAGACCCTCATGGTCAAGTGTCCGTCTTACATCAACTGTGGGATCTCGAAGAAGGGAGGGAGGAAGTGATGGCTAAGTGTGATGATATCAACGACATTGGCAATGATGACCTCTTGACCTTGACATGTACTTTGTTTTGTTACTTAACATTTTCTGAGACGATGTTGTTTTTCAAATAAATTTCCAATATATGATTATATTGCTGATACATGCGGGGCTTTAATTTTCACCTAACAGTATGTTTGAATGACTTTTTTAGTGTACTATTGTCGATATGTTTTCATTGCTCCTTTTAGTTTGAAACTGTTCTCTGGGTAACATTTACGAGACAGACCTCATTGACTTTCTTGACATTAAGCAACAAATTGATTATTAAACTGAGCCGCCTATTCAATGAGGTGGACGATTGATGTGGGTGCAAAGCATACACGGAACATTATGCACCCAGCTCTGAGTTACTCGTCACGTTAAATAAGTATGACTGGCTCAAATTTTCATTAACATGTCGCAGCATTATTAACTCAGGGGCACGTCGCTCAAGTCAAATGCGACATTTTCGATCAACAAAACGTCAGCCACGACGGCCACTTTGTCAGTCCTGATAGCATAGCTTTTAGTAATAGCCAGCACTTAGCCCATTACGTCTCCTTCAAACCTATTACGGATTGCTTTATCATAATATGAATCTTGCTCGCCAAGTCTCATTCAACAGAATCTCAGCTGGAAGAGATTACATATTAATTACCACATTTGCAAGTTTCAAAAAATGTCTGCAATTTACAGGGAATATTTCTTATAAACTTCCCACACGAGTGAGGTTGAAGGCAAGACTCTTGTTGTTTTTTTGCGGCAAGATGGGAATAACTATGCAGGAAGCAGGATGTTACTAATTTAATAAAATGATTGAGAAAAGTTTTCCACATTAACGAAGCATCCGGTTTCTCTGAGTAGTCATCCTGTTGTGATTCCGCAAATTGCTATCAGTCACTAACATTAAAATCAGTTGTATAAACATAAATTAGATCCATTAGCTGAGTCAATGCCATGATGTGAAAGAAGTCTTTGTCAGTCACTCTGTCATGAACCAGACCAAGGTGAAACAGTCATGTTTGAGGTTGTGGCCTAGACATGTGACTCATGGAAAATGAAGTTTTAAAAAAGGCTCTCATACTTTGTTTCCATTTACAAAATGTGAAAGTGTGTGGCTATAAAAATATGTTTTGAAATAAATCTGCATGTCGATGTAATGTAGTGACACATTAAAGTGTATATATTTGTAATCACAGACTGCATTTTGTTTGGAGAAAAGAAAATAAGGAAATTTCACTGAAGACCGTAGTTTATTGTAAACATTGACAGAGAAGTGTCCTGCAGACGCTTGCATGGGAGTTTCATCAGGCATCACCTGCACTTGCAGTAGTTGTTTAAACTGGAAACTTTCTTTTTACTTATAGCCTTAAAACTCCTTACACCTGCCAGGACAAATTAAACCAATTTAGCTTTCATCTGAGAGGATACTGGCTCGGTGTAATGGTGAGCACACTGGACTTGCAATCCAGAGGTTGCCCGTTCCATTCAACGTCTTGACGCAATAGTTGAAATAATGAGCAAGTTTGTTAACCCTCCCCCGACCCCCCCCCCCCTCTCTGCGTCTGTCAATGCAACAGGTCATGCGTGGTGTCTATAAAGTGTGGGTACTCCCAGAACAACAAAAAATACTCGAGGGGGCCTCTCCAGAACTGCCCCTAGTTGAAGCCCGAGCAGTGGCGTGAACGAGCAATCGTAGGGCTGTCCTATTACATTTTCATGCTTTATGACCTACTTGCTCAGAATGAGGAGTCCATCCATCCTGGA